ATTTCGTGATACTAAACTTTTTATTAGTTGTCATAGCAAGTGATTTTAAAAGTAGGATGGCTCACTTTTTATAAGATGACTGAAATTTTTACTTGAATTCGTAGTTTATTCTTACTTTTGGAAACCTAATTGTTTTACAATTACTATTATTATTATTATTATTATTAGTGTTGTTTCTAGAAGTATTAATTTTGATAATAGTCAATAGAAAAAATATAACCACACACACATTTGTTTGTCCACAGAATAATTACATTAAATAAAATTAAATAAAATAATTAAATAAAAAGCGTCCCCGCATGAGCCTCTACCTCCGCCTGCAGGACCTCAATTTCAGACTCAGTAAAGTTTTTTTTTGTTTTTTTTTTTGTGCTCGTCATTCTCAAGCATAGAAATTTGGATATTGGCGTGTGCTCTTTTATATGGTAATGATATTAATTAGGGGGCGTTTACAAGGCGGAGATCTGACACCAGTCAACTGCGCACAATTTCAAGATCATTTGCGATTTATAAATGTCACATCTGGAAGAGAGGCGTACGCACGTGTTTTTGTGCGCACGTTCGTTTTCTCTGAATCGCACTTAGGCACTTTTGAGAAATGATCTTAGAACAAATTTAGGAAGCAACATTTTATAAATGAGGCCCCAGGTCTTCTAGTGAGAGCTGTAGGATCCTGAAAGTCGCATGTTTGTAAGATTCTTTTGGATTATTAGATATCGTCCCAATGACCTCTGGTAAGGCAAAAACATTAGTCTGTTTATGCTGAATAAATAATATCCCCACAGCCTTGGTGTGTTATCACTATCTAAACATGGAATAAGTTTCTTTTTGGTATGCATTGGTGAAGTTTGGTGTTATGACTTGGATGATCTTCACAAAGGTCTTTAGTAAGAGTGCAGGCAGCATTTTTGACATTGCAGGAGTGCAACACACAGCAATGATGAAAGAGTTAAACAAGCAAGACGACCAAGGACATGCAAAAACAAAACAAAACAAAACACAGGTCAAAGATGTTTAAACTACAGTACAAAAAGAACTACTGTAGTATTGCTTGTGTGTGTGTGTGTGTGTTTGATGAGTAATATTAAGGGGATTCAAAGCTTTTTTAAAAAAAAATTTCCATCACGATTCACAATCTACAACTAAATTTGCCATACTTTAACATAAAAAAAACAAGCCAAAGAGGTACTATTAGAATATTTACAAGAAAATTGCCATATAGTAAAGTATTATTTACATCTAAGATTGATCTACATATTATGTTAAAGGACAAATATTTACTAAAATCAACTTTTATGAAGATCAACTTTTGTGAAGCCATCAAATAGATACTTTGTTCATATATATATATATATATTTTTTTTATTTATTTATTATTACAGCACACCTCGCTCGAGGCGACACAAGTTCAATTCCATCTCAAGGTCCTTTGCCGATCCCGCTCCCCTCTCTCAGCCCAATGCTTTCCTGTCCTGTGCTCTACTGTCCTGTCCCAGTAAAGGCATAAAAAGTCCAGAAATATATATATATAAAAAAAAACTAATTACAATTGCTGTTCACAGCCATGATACAATTCTGTAAGCTGCTGTCAGTGACTATTAGCAGCTGTAATTTGTTAACTTGTTTAAAACAATTAGAAAATATTACAGAACTGAATAAAAGCTACTGGAATTACTCCCCATCTTGAATGAGATTCTTCATGTAAAATCACTGATGAGTGTATAACACAGGTAATGTAACACTGCAGAGATAATCAAAGTTAGTCATGTATCGTTCTATGTGAGGTTTGTCCAGCTGAAAACGCTCTTTCCCGACCCCGTCTCTGCCCTTGAGCTGTGATAAGAGGACTGCTAGAGTTCATCTGGAGTTTCACAGGTGACAAATCTGAGCTTTCCAAGAGTTACACACTTGATCTGCTCTTTAAGGAAAAGTGGCATACAGTCCGTTCATTTTATTTATGTATGAAGTTGTATATCAAAGAGATTTTCATAATCTGAGGGCTCAGACATCATTTGCATCATTGTGATTGTGAAATCATCAAATGTTTGGGAATAGTAAGATTTTTTTTGTTGGCTTTTTTTTTTTTTTTAAAGGAGACTCCCATTTATTAACAGTAATTGTGTTAAATATTTGTAAAATTTAAAATAACTCTTTTCTATTGTAATATATTTTTTAAATTTAATTTTTTCCTGTGATGGCAGAGCAGAATTTTCAGCATCATTACTCCAGTCATCAGTGTCACATGATCCTTCAGAAATCAGTCTAATCTGCTGATTTGGTGGCAAGCAAACATTAGCAATGTTGAAAACAATTGTGCTGCTTAATATTTTTGTGGAAACTGTGATTCATTTTTTTCAAGATTCCTTGAGAAATAAAAAGTTCAAAAGAACAGCATTTATTTGAAATAGAAATCTAACACTAGAAATGCCTTTACTGTCACTTTTGATCAATTCAATGGGAGACTCCCATTTATTAACAGTAATTGTGTTAAATATTTGTACAATTTAAAATAACTCTTTTCTATTGTAATATATTTTTTAAATGTAATTTATTCCTGTGATGGCAGAGCAGAATTTTCAGCATCATTACTCCAGTCATCAGTGTCACATGATCCTTCAGAAATCAGTCTAATCTGCTGATTTGGTGGCAAGCAAACATTAGCAATGTTGAAAACAATTGTGCTGCTTAATATTTTTGTGGAAACTGTGATTCATTTTTTTCAAGATTCCTTAAGAAATAAAAAGTTCAAAAGAACAGCATTTATTTGAAATAGAAATCTAACACTAGAAATGCCTTTACTGTCACTTTTGATCAATTCAATGCATCATTGGTGAATAAAAGTATTAATTTCTTTAAACAAACAAACAAACTCACTGACCCCTTTTGAACTGAATGTCACTCTTGATATGAACATGTAACCATCAGTGTAGAATTTCAACAAATGTGTTTCCCAGGCCTTGACCATTTTTGCAGTCTCAGCATCACCTCTTTTCAGATGTGAGAGATGGAGATGGGTTTATAATGCTGAAACAAACTTACAGCTGCTTGGCTCTCAGATAAGAAATACAGCCGACATCACAATACTCTATTTTTCCTTCTGCGTCAGAGTCTGATAATACTGCTCACTCCCCCGTTCTGGAGATGGACCAACTCTCCTGGGCACTGTGGTCAGGCTAAACATGCTCTGAAAAAAAAAGAGCAGGCAACATTGTCCATTTTTGTTGCCAAAGTTTCTATCAGAAACATATTTAATTATTATTAGCATTGGTGAAATGGTATTGAAGAAAGAAAAACATACCCCGACTAAAATGTTCATTGCTAATTATTCTTTGAGAAAATACTTCAGACATAAAGTCTCAGACAAAATTTGATCTGAAACGTTTGAATGAATTAGCATTTTAATAATCTATTCATATTCAACTTTCAGCTCCACAGGATAAGTAAATGCATGTAAACAGCCAAAACTGACGGAAGAATCTTGACCTTGTGAGCAAATTAAAAGGAAAATTGACCCCTCTAGGTCCTTCTATAAGCTAACAATCATTATAGGAGTCAAAAAGTGCAGTTAATTAAATGAGAAAAAGTGAATAAAGTGATATATATGGAAAACATGTTTTGAATGTCATGAGTAAACAGAACATATCAAGTTGTGCTAATTTGATCGTTTTGAGCTAATGCAATGAATGACACGCATTACAGCCTCCAGCATTCGTGCATGAGCTGAAAAATAAATAAAAGTGGGCCATGTTAGTTATCTGTTAAAGAGACTTTGGACATGTGATTTTCTGTAAATCAGTCAGATTTCTATCAAGGATCTATGTACATAAAGAATCAACATGTTAGCAAACATCTGTGTAATGATTTACCAATTAGCAGTGGAAAGAAAACAAAGCAAGAGGACCAGACAGAAGTGCCAAACAGACAGACATTTCATGGGATTGAAGCTTCTTTCCATTTGGAATTATATCTGCGCAAGTTGTTTTTCTTTCTTAAAAAAAAAAAAAAAAAAAAGCATTATATTCCCTTTCATAAATCTAAAGCCATGGCAAAACATATGGTGAAAGTTTGGCCCATATGTGCTCCGTCATGTCATACCTAGGCCAAATGTGACAGCTATCAGCCACATCTGGCCCAAAAGTTCTTGCTATCTGGGCAGCTATTTTTCAGCTTGATATTGCAAACTGGTGTCTCTTACCATTTTATTTTAATGTATTGTCTTAAAGGGGTCATATGATGCGATTTCAAGTTTTCCTTTCTCTTTGGAGTGTTACAAGCTGTTTGTGAATAGATAAGATCCCTGAAGTTGCAAAGACTAAAGTCTCAAACCCAAAGAGATATTCTTTATAAAAGTTAAGACTTGTCCACACCCTCCTAAAACAACGTCATATGACCCCTTTAATTATGATGAACACACTGGTTTGTAGTGCAAACAGTTTACTGCACTTCGTTATTCTTCTGCAGCGGCTAATGAACCGGAAGTCTCACACATTTAGAGAAAACAGCTTACTTCCGCGTTGAAAATAAGGTTGTACAGGGCACGAGCGTCGCGTTAAGTAGGCTACCAGAAAAACCCATTAAGGATCGCGATTCGCGTCGCGTAGCGCCGATAGCACACGGACGCCCCGCCCACTTCTGATTTGGACGTGGTCCAAATGTTGCAAACTGATATTTGCTATATTATTTTTTTATGCATTATCATAATCACGGTTTGTAGCGCAAAGAGTTTTTCCGTTCTAGTTACAGTATTTACCTAATCGTAATTCTCACACATAATTCAAAGAAAATAGCTTACTTCCGCATGGCAAAACAGATAGTTTAAAACTAAAACCATAAAAAAGTTACCATATGAAAAAAAAAACATTTTATTTCAGCCAACATTTCTCATTTAAATTTAGTTTAACTTGATGTACTAGAAATAACTAGAACTACAATTGAAAAAATTAGACAAAAAAATAAAAATAAGACATAAAAAACAAACAAAAACTAATAAAAATGACAAAACACACACCAAAAATAATAAATAAATAAATTCAAAAATTTTAAATCAAATCCAAACGTTTAATCAAAATTTAAAATGAAAACTTAAAAAAATATTAATCCAAATTGTATAGAAATAGTAGGAAAATGACATCACTTATAACCAACAACGGGATGACTTTTGATGTGTCCAGTGTCTGTTCCTCACTGGCCTCAGAGGACTTTAATATATAACACACAAATCATATAAACCACTTTTATGACACTTTAATGGTGGCTTTATAATTTCCCATTTCTTCAGCTTTCCCTGTCTACCTGTGACATCACTGTTCTGCTAAACTTCAGCGTTCCCCTCACTTGTCTTCCTGACGATGCTCCTGTGCTGGCTGACTCTACATACACCTGGAGCTTCACGTCTGCTCACACACAGCAGCAGCTCACACTTGAGGAGAAAGGAAAAATCCTGAACCTCAGAAACATAGAAACCACCCAAGAAGGACAGTACAAGTGTGTTCAGGATGGCTATAAAGGAGAGGATCGTGTGAGGTTGAGGAGAACATTCACGATACGTGTGAAAGGTTAGAAGGATGTCTTGCATTGATGACTGTGAATCTCAGAGGTCAATTAATAAACTGACCCCTTTTTTTCTTTCTTAGCGCCCCCACCCTTTCAGGAATGGCAGGTCGTCAGAGTAGTAGCTGGGAATGATGTGATGCTTCCGTGCAAGGTTGCTAAATTTTTCTCTTCCAGAGAGACAGAAAAACACCCTGTTTTCTGGAAACGAGAAACAGGAAAAGGTGATATGCTTCTCATGCCCGACAAAGACACAGACGACCAAGAGGAGGACAAGACACCTCCGAGGGTTTTCTGGGACATCAGCTCTAAAGAACAGGACTGGGCGATTAAAATTAGTCAGACCAGAGAGGAAGATGCTGGGATGTACCACTGTGTCATAACTAATACAACTCAGATGCTGTCAGTAGAGCTGGAAGTGGAAGGTACTCCTTTCAGACATTTATTTAAAATGCAATTTTCTGCCTGTTTTAATGGTATTCTCATATTTTAATCTTAAATAAAAAATAATTATTAAATAAAAATATTTATTTTTAAAATAAAATGTATGTAAAAATTCAGTTTTATTATTATTCTTACATTAAGAAATATATATAATATATATAAATTAAAACAAAATAAGTAAATTAGAAAAATTTATAAAAGTAAGCCTATTTCAATATTATTGCACTTTACTTAGAAATAAAATGTAAAAAGAAGTTATTTTTAAAATACATTTTATTATTTTTTTATTTATACAATTGTTTTAATATTATTCTTACATTTAGGAAGAAAATAAAGAAATTATTTAATCTAAAACAGACAAACGTTTACAAATGCTTTTATATTATTTCTACATTTAAGGAATAAAATTAAAAACAACATTCATTTTAATAAGACTAAAATAAAGAAAATATCTGGAAAATTATACATTTTGTTTTAATATTATTCTTATTATATAAGAGTGAAAGAAAAAATAAATTAGTTATTTTTAAAAAATATATGTGATTTATAAATTTACTCAGGGGTCATCTACTATAAAACAACTATCTATAATTGGAATAAGTTTATCTATTTGGGATATGTAAAATGAGACATTCAGAGCAGAGCATTTTTGTTGGAATATACATAAACTGTATTTTTAAATCCCAAATCACATCCTTTTGGAAAGAAATGACTTCTTTTTCAGGGTAAAACCTACTTTACCTACCATTTTATTCTTTAGCCCCTCCTCCACCGCGCTGCTTTGGCCACACTGACCCATGGGAGGCCTGTGAGGATCAGGACAGCAGATCAGGGACGGCAATTCTGCAGGACTCACTCAGAGAATTCTCCACCTCTGTATATGCAGATCTTAAAGGTTCAAAACCCAAAACCAACTTGATCTTCTCCCCAGTCAGCATTGCTGTAGCTCTTTATAACCTGCTATTGGGTAAGAGAAATGCTGGAGGAACGTCAGACAATCACCAAAACGCTACACATTGTTCTTTGTTGACCTGCTGAGCCTCTTCCTCTTCTCTCTTTGCGTCGCCCTCTTTCCAAGGTGCTCGAGGTGAGACCAGAACACAGCTGGAAGATGCTCTTAGGCTTCCCTCAGAATTCTTCTGTGTGCATTTTGAGACAAAGAAACTGAAAGAAGTGATAAAGGACACACTGGGAATGGCCTCTGCCATCTTTTATTCCCCAGGTAAGCACAGAAAAAAAAAACACACTTATTATCTAAGATAACCACTCACATTGTGAAAAAGTAGTACAGGAATACTTTAAAAGGAGAGTTATTATGGAAATAATATTATTGAAAATAATTAAGTGTTTTCAGACACTTAATTGCATGTTACTTAGAATTAATTGAAAATATGTTCTAGTTTAAATTTATATTAAATTAAATGAGTTAATCTTAAGAGTGCTTATCTGACCCACTGAATTAGGACTTAAGTACATCTTTATAAGTAATTTCATAATTCTATTGCTTTTAAAAATGTTGTGCTGCCGAATTTACTGATAAGCGTGTATGGTAAACTAAAATATACTTCAATGTCATTTCTATTGAAACTTACATGTCATGTATTTAAATATATTTGTAAGTACACATTTGTAGTGAAGAAGTTGCAATTTAATACATTTTAAATATATATAACAGAGTTTTTTAGGAGTACTTTTCATGTTAATCAACACATCAAAAATAAGTGTGCTGATTATTAAAGATTATTAAAACAATGATTTACAGGAAAACCTTTAATTTGACACTATTACAAAGTGCACTTTTTAAAAGTGTTAAGAAACAGTCATGAAAGTCTACACTCATTAAGTCCACATAAGTGTTTCATTCCTTTATTATCTGCAAGTACAAGTAAAAAAAAAAAAAAAATGCATTTTTAGGATTATAATTAGGTGCACTTCTTTTTCACAAGAAGCAGATAAATACAAATAAAATTTAATTTAAAATGTTTAATTAAAAAACTATATAATTCAATATAGAAATATTTAAATAATAAAATATAATTAAAAGGGGAAAACACCCTGAAAATGAACTACAAGCACTTGTACTGTATTTGTACAAATACAAACACATACATTGTAGAACTATTTCTGCAGGTCGGCAGTTCACTCTTACGGGCAAAAACAGCCTGTACAAACTGATCCCGCGCACAATGTCAGAAGAATCTTTTGTATTGATGGAAAATAATATAAACGGAGAGTCCATTGAAGCAATGGTTTCTGAGATGAATACAATCCCAGCCCAAACCGCTGAGGTCATACTGCCTAAAATTAAACTGACAGTGGACACACCATTAGAGGGCTTACTGAGGAATCTGGGTAAGTATGTCACCTTTTTTACTCCAAAATGCTGGAACGAGCTAGAATGTGACATTTAAAGGGAAAGTTTACACAAAATTAAAATTCTGTCATCATTTACTCATCTCATTCCAAAACTGTATGCTGTTTTCTCAGTAGAACACAAAAGGAGATTTTTTTTTTTAGGCTACATATATACACGATCCCATTTTCCATACAACATACATATTACCAGAAAATCCTGCACTACAAGATATTCCAAGTCATAACTCTTTGAGAAGAAAATCAGAAATGAGATGAGTGAATCATTATTCACTGAAAATCTTCTGAAACATTTCGGCCCGGTTCTCACTCAAAGCTATGATATGGCTTCAGATAACTTAGAATTTAGTGCAAGAGTCATATGGACTATTTTTATTATACGTCTATAATTTTATGGTGCTTTTAGTCCTTTTTTGGCAACAATTAATGGTTCTTTGTATAAAAAGGATGCATGTACACTTTAAAAGTTCTCATTTTGTATAAATCTAATTTTTGAAAGGAAAAAAAAAAACACAGCACGTGGATTTGAAACAAATGTGGATGAGTAAACCCTGACAGAACTCTCCTCACCTCTCCGCTCTTCTCCTCAGGTTTGTCAGATCTCTTCTTAAAGCCTAACTTGTGTGGAATATTCCCGGATGAATCGGAATCATTCATCTCAGACGTTCGTCATAGTGCCTTTCTCTCGTTGACCGAGAAGGGGGTGGAGGCCGCAGCAGCCACAAGCATCTCTTTTTCTCGCTCCTTCTCTTCTTTCGCGGCTCTACAGCCCTTCGTTCTGATACTGTGGAGCGATGAGGCTGGCGCTCCTCTATTCATGGGAAGAATAATTAATCCATAAAAAGAGAGAGATAAAAAAAAGACATCACAACAGTGTTTCGCCACAAAAAATAAAAATGAAACTTTCTGTTCTACATTCATTCATTTATCACAAACAAATGCATTTATGTAACAATATCATGTTATGCATAGAATTAGAATGCATGCAGAATCTCGGTCATTAAAGATGTACTTTACATCATGCATTCGTTATTTATTTTCCATTACATGACAAGAAATATGTTGCATGAATGAAAGACCTTTATAAGACTTGAATGCACAAAACTCGCTCCCATTTCCAACAGCCCACCGTTGCACCAATTTATTTCGGAGACGCAGTTACAGAGACCGACACACGATGGCAGTCACATCACATGTTCCACACAGACAGTCAACGTGGACACGTGAGCGAGACTTGAGTTTGGCTGGCAGGTGGTGCCAGTCCATTCATTATCTGAATGCCATGCTGTTTCATCAAAGGTAGCCTGTTTTGTCCCAGTTCACTGAGCAAAATCAAATACCCTTAGATGGACCCATTTATGGATATTACGACAAACATAAGCACTGCAGATCAGTGGTCCATCAAAGCATATGTGACATTCACTTGGCATGCAGCTGCTTAGAATAACATTTGATAATTATACACCGTTTAGGCCAGGGCTGTCCAAACTCGGTCCCGGAGGGCCGGTGTCCTGCAGAGTTTAGCTCCAACTTGCCTCAACACACCTGACTGGACAGCTAATCAAGCTCTTACTAGGCATAGAAACTTCCAGTCAGGTGTGTTGAGGCAAGTTGGAGCTAAACTCTGCAGGACACCGG